ATGGATGGGTGGGATGGGTGGATGGATGGGTTGGAGGGTGGTGGGAAGATGGATGAGTGGGTAAATGAATGGGATGGATAGGTGAGATGGGTGGTGAGTGGGTGGGTGGGTGCGTGGATGGGTGGGTAGGTGGGGGGTGGGAATGATGGTAAAGTGAAGCCTAGTGGAGTAGGGAGGGGAACAGATGCTTTGGAGTTGGGTGGTATGTGTGTCATTTACCACGGCTCAGTGACCAAAAACCACCCACCCTTATTCTTGTGAGTGACACCTGGTGTCAGAACTGCAAGGTGACTCTCCAGGGCTTGAACAAGTGTGCGGCGTGCCGTCGGGGACTCTGTGTGGCCCAGGCCTTGCTTGGCATCTCTCCACCTCTTCCCTCTCATCTCCCTGCCTTGCCTCCATGTGGTGACCACGTCCCCCCTGGCCCCCCAGGACACCTCCCATCCCATGGTCCTCAGCCACCTCTGCAGATCCTTCTGTCACCTAGGTGTGGGGAGACCAGTGGACCCTGGGGCCACCACTGTGGGCACGGGTGGCCCCTGGGTGTGCACCCATGTGATGGGGTGGGACTGGGCGCTGGCTCTCCTTCCCCTACGCAGGCTGGGCCTCCCAAAGGGCAGCAGGTGGCAGCCTACGTCCTGGTGGGGACAGGGAGGGGGCCTGGGCCCCAGCACCTGTGGCGTCTTGGCAGTCAGCCAAGGTCAGGGAGGTGGAGGGACCCTGGGGACAGCTGGCTAAAGGCCCAGTCACTCGTCCCTTCCTCAGGCTGGGGTCCGTCTGCTCAGGGCCTGGTTCTCCGTGACCCCGTGTCTCCTCTCCACCCAGGGTACCGCGAGGGCTTTCTCTGGAAGCGCGGCCGGGACAACGGGCAGTTTCTAAGCCGGAAGTTCGTGCTGACGGAGCGCGAGGGGGCCCTGAAGTACTTCAACAGGAATGACGTGAGCGGGCTGCGGGCCGGGGTGGGGCGCCTGTCTCAGGAGGTGGCCCTTGGGGGCCCGCAGTGGCTGAACTCCCACCCAGGACAGGAGCTTGGCCTCCCTCATGCACTTCCCAGGAACCGTGACCGACACACTCCCGTGAAGGGGCCACCCCCATGGCCACGAGGCCACCCCCCACGAGGCCAGTTCCAAGGGACAGACCTTGAGGATACAGCCCAAGGACTCACCTCTATGGGACACCCCCCAATGGCCTCTGAGGATGCTGCCTGGGAGAGGATAGGGCTTGGGCCCAGGTGTGGGGAGGGCACAGCTCCCTGCCCACTGCCTGGCCACCCCACCATGGGCACCGTCATGGCTGCAGGCCCACAGTACAAAGGGGGGAAGGAACTGGGGTTCAAGCCAGTAGCTCTCAGGGGACAATCCAGATGACAGGGGAAGGTAAAGGGAAGGGGTGTGACACTGAGTGCCCCCTGCAGAGTGACATTTAGTCTTTATGTCCAGGGAGGGAGATACTATTACCTTTGATTTACAGACCAGGAGGCAAGGCTCAGAGAGGTTAAGTAACTTGCCCAAGGTCACACAGCATAGACATATGCCAGCTGCATCCATATACAGCCTACCCTCTCCTTCCTTCTAGCTGAGCTTAGACAATGGCCCTTGCCTGATGCTCAGACCAGTCTCATTCTGCAGGCCAAGGAGCCTAAGGCTGTCATGAAGATTGAGCACCTGAATGCCACCTTCCAGCCGGCCAAGATTGGCCACCCCCATGGCCTGCAAGTCACCTACCTGAAGGACAACAGCACCCGCAACATCTTTATCTATCATGAGGATGGGAAGGTGGGGCATGGGGGCTGGGTTATGGGGGCTGGGCATGGGCCACTGAGGGGGCCCTTACTGTCTCAGCAGGGATGCTCCTGTCCCCTGCAGGGGTCTGCAGCTCACCCAGCAGCATCCGTCACCCACCCTCGTGCATAGCGGGGAGCCTGGCCTGGGCCCCTGTGGGAGAGCAGGGGCGGCTCTGGCTCGGTCAGGTCTCCTGAGCTCCCACTGGCCCTGCAGCGGGAGGGCAGTGCCACCCCCCACCATGGCTGTCCCACCCGCATCTCTGGAGGGATGTGGCAGGGCCCCACCAGTAGAGCTCCCTAGAGTCTGTCCTTTGGTCCCTGGGCTAGACGGCAGGACCTCAGAGGTGAACCCAGACTCTCTCTTCTTCTGCTTTTCACTTCCATTTTCACCCGTGTGCGCATCGTGAGTGTTCCGCAGGCTGGAGGCGCCCTCTCCCCAGGTGGCCACCTTCCCAGGTCTCTGGCAGATCCTTTGGCCTGATCTGCCACTTTCTGTACTTTCTGGGGACTCCTGCTGAGGAGGGCTCCCCTGGGGCCTGCAAATCCCCCTCCAGATTCTCCTGCAGTCTGCCCACACCATCCTGACAACTTGAAAATGCCATCGAACCTGCACCCCGGGCCGGCCTCCACGGCTCTTCCCTCCTGCGCGCTGTCTTGTCTCCCCGGGTAAACAGCCGGGCTTCCCGAGGTGGCCTGGGACTGGTGTTGAGGCACCAAGCATCCTAACGATTGCAGACTCACCTCATGGTTCTGCAGCCTGGGCCCCAGTTCACTGTGGCTTACACCCTCGTTTTGGTGGAGCACACCCTTATGTAGCTTCCTGAGAAAAGTGCCACATCCCGCACACGGGGAGCCCTGCCGTCCCCTGCCTGCAGCCTGGCTGGCTGGACAGTTCTAGGCCGCAGGATTTCTCCCTCATTCTGAAGGCCCGCGTGCTGAGTTTTCTGCCCAGCATCATCCCGAGGTTTTCATGGTTTCTGGTGACACGCCTCCTCCTGGGCCTGTCCCCTCCGTTGTGCTGGCCCTTTCAGTCCAACGACTCCTATCCAGGAGGCTAGGGAGCATTTCCTTGAATAATTTTCTCCGTCCGCGTTCTTTTCCCAGGACCCTGTTATCCAGAGGTCTGTGCTCCGAGACTCGCTCTCTCCCTCATTTTTCTTCTTTTTTTAATTGGGGAATTTCTCCGACTTGTCTTCCAGCTCTTTGTCAGGGGCTCACTTCTCTCAAATTGCTCACCCCTTGGGTTCTTGGAGTGTTCGTCTCCAACACTTGTGTCAATCAGCAGGTGGTGGGAGGGAGCCTGGCTCGGGGGGTGAGTGGATGTCCACTTTACCCAGGGGTCTCTGACTTCACTTCTCTGGGGCTGTGGCCTGAGGACAAGGGAGACTTTTTTTTCTCAGTGAGTCCCTTCTGGGACCCTAGTGTCCCACCCTCCAGGGACAGCTGTGGTGTCTGCTCTGTGCTGGGTCCTGTGGGCGGGGCAGAGAGGACTCGTTGGCCTGCCCTGCCCTTGGGCCGTGGGCCAGAATCCCAGCTGCGCCAGGCTGAGAGCCAAGGTGGAGGGCAGAGTTCGGGAGAGAGTGGCATGTGAAGGCCCCGGGGCAGGAGGAGGGGGACGTGCTTGAGCTGCAAGGCCAGGGGAGGTACCGAGAGGAGGGCACTTGGCCTTGCAGTGGGAGAAGTGTGGGAAGGCGCAGGACCTGGTTTGCCATCAGCCAGGCAGTGCCACGGCCAGGGAGCGGAGGCTTCGGGGCAGGCCAGGCCTGTGACCCTGGGGGGTCCTGAAGGGCAGTGCCTTGAGAACTGAGGTGGCCGGGACTTGGGAATGGGCAGGACTGATCTGATGTCAGGGTCAGTGTGAGCCATTGCAACCCTGGGGTGAGGGTCACGGGCAGTATGTGGCCCGTCAAGTGGGTCTGCAGCACGGGTTCCACAGACGGGGTTGGGTGATGGGCAGGGCCTGAGGGTTGAGGTGGGGCAGGTGGGGGCGGAGCCTTAGGGGCGGGGCTGAGGTAGTGGGGAGGGGTCCCACACTGGCTTGGTGGTGGCCTTGCAGGCAGGACCGAAGGATGCAGAAGGTGGAGGGTCTGGGAGAGGAGTGGTGGGGTGTTGGGGTGGGAGCCCTGCACCTGGGGAGCAGCAGACAGGTAGGCATGAGGCTCGTGGGAATGAGACCCGTGGGGGATGGTGGCCCAAGTGGGGACACAGCCCATCCCCCAGTGAGGCTGCCAGGAGCCTGCGTCAGCCCCAGAAGAGGGCAGGGTGCGTCTGGTGGCCGTGGGAGGCCCCTGGGCTACACTCACACCGCCTTTGGCCCTTAGGAGATCGTGGACTGGTTCAACGCACTGCGAGCTGCCCGCTTCCACTACCTGCAGGTGGCCTTTCCAGGGGCCAGCGATGCAGACGTGAGTGGCTGTCCCATGGCCACCTCCCAGGGTTGGGGGACACCTAGCGGTGGACATCTCAGCCCTCCTGCCCCCTAGTCTGGGATGGCTTTGGGCCCTAGGGTGGGTCACAGGACTGACCAAAGGCTTGCACGGGCCCCCAGAAAGGTCCTCCTGCAGACTAGTTTAAGGCCAGCCCCAAAGTGACCACAGCTCCCTGGGGAATTTTAGCTCAGAGTGGACCGAACGTGTAGGGGAGGAGGAGAGGAAGGAGAGACAGGGGAGCAGGGGCGACCTCACCCCAGGTGTGTGGTGGGGTCCCTGGCCTGGAGGCTGGGCCAGGCTTCTGTGGGGCCAGCCTGGGGGCCTGACCCACCGGTTTCTGCCCCAGCTGGTGCCGAAGCTCTCCAGAAACTACCTGAAGGAAGGCTACATGGAGAAGACGGGGCCCAAGGTGGGTCTGCAGGCGGGTGGGGTGTTGCCGGGCACACTCCAAGGTCAGCTGCTTCTCCCTGTTGCCTGGGTGGGCAGGGACCCGGCACAGGGCACAGTGAGGCAGGACCTGCCAGGTGCCTCCCGAGTGCTATTAGGCACAGGTCGGTCCTCTTGGCCCTTTGCTGGGTGGGAGTTCCAGCCAACCCAGGACCACCCTGGGCTTTGGGTGCTGGAGCTCTGGGTCAACCTCAGCCTTCTGGCCCCAGGCCCCTTCATGCCATTTCCTGCTGCCTGGGGATGGAGGACTCTGGTGGCCCCTGAGGTGGGACGAATGCTCAGTGGGGACATGTAGGTAGGGGTCCAGGGAAAGAGGAGCAATGGTGAGGACTTCATGCCTTTGGTGGGTGGGCAGAGCAGGGCCCCGCTGGACACATGTATGAGTGGACAGTGAATGGCCCCAGCCCCCTGTGTGAACTGTGGCCAGCCAGGGCAGGGGCCTGGTGAGGCTGGCCAGCTGGTCACCAGTCCTCCCTGACTGACAGCAAACAGAGGGCTTCCGGAAGCGCTGGTTCACCATGGATGACCGGAGACTCATGTACTTCAAAGATCCCCTGGTAAGGAGGGTCCAGCTGGCAGCCACCCACAGAACCGGCTGCTTCCCAGTATGGCCGTGGCGGTGTTGATGGGGGTGGCTCCCAGGGTCCTGGCCTCAGCCTCGCCCAGTTCTGGGTACGGGGGGGGGGTGGCTCGGGGCAGGGAGGGTGGCCAGCTCCAGCTTGGTCCCCGCTGTAGGACGCCTTTGCCCGAGGAGAGGTCTTCATTGGCAGCAAGGAGAGTGGCTACACAGTGCTGGAGGGACTCCCACCGTCCACCCAGGGCCACCACTGGCCACATGGCATCACCATTGTCACACCTGACCGCAAGTTCTTGTTCACCTGCGAGACGGAGTTGGACCGGAGGGAGTGGGTGGAGGCCTTCCAGAAGGTGGTGGACAGGCCCATGCTACCCCAGGAGTACGCAGGTGAGGGCTGGCCACTGAGGTGAGGCCCCAGGCCCTGTGTCCACACTGTGGGATGGCCTCTGGCTGGACGGAACCCCCCAGGTGGGTCGTGCGGGGAAGGCTTGGGCTGAGCTGACCAGCTTGACCAGGCTGTCTGTCCCATCTCCAGTGGAAGCCCACTTCAAGCATAAACCCTAGCGAGAGACGGTCCATCCAGAGGCCTGAGGACACTGGACTCGGGACGTGTTGGCCAAGGATGCAGCTGGACGGGGAGGCCTTCTCCAGGGCAGCCCTGGGCTCAGCTGGGTGGAGCCTGAGCTTTAACCACTAGGAGGCACTTGAACCTCATCAAAGGCCCATCTGCCTGTCCCAGCCCAGCCATGCTGCTGCTGCTGACCACACCGGCTGACCTGCTCCTCTCCCTGCCCCTGGACGCCTCTCCTGATGGCCCTGCAGGGTCTCCCAGCTCAGGAGCAGCCCCCACGAACTCCTGGATACCTGCCCAACCTGAAGGGACTTCTGGGCCTCTTAAGTGGACCCTTTGTGCTGGGTGGCTGAGGGCAGCAGTGGTAGCAGTGGGCTGGCTGGGTCACTGGGGACTCTCGGACCTGCCGCATGCCCCCCTCCCTTCCCCCGTTGTGACAAGTATTTATTGGGTATCTGCTGTGTGTCAGCCACGGGTCTGGGGCCAGCAGAGGCATGTGGCCCTTGTCCTCAGGGGCAGTTTCCCAGGAGAATGGTGTGTGCGGATCCTGGCCCTGCCAGCTGGGGCCCTGGCTTCGGGCAGGAGGCTGGAGGGGTTCACCAGGGGCTGCCAGGTGCCATGAGGGGACCTAGCCACACCATCTGCTCATGGGCATCTGTGCCCAGCTTGGTGCTCAGCCTTGACCAGTGATCCATGCCCACCGGCCCTGACCTTTGAGGATGATGGCTGGCGCCACCAAGAGGCCCCCAGAGGCAGGGGTGACCCTGTACCCCTCTGCCCCTGGGGCCCTGCTTGCTGCTGGCTGGCCAGCAGTTAAAGCCACCTCATATTTATTTCTCACCTCGTCTCCTTCCGTGCTGCACTCTGGCCGTCCAGGACAGCTGGGCTCCCTTTCCATGGGACCCCTGCAGGGCAGGTCCTGGCCAGCTGGACGGGCTTGGTGGAGCTCTTTGGTGGTAGATGCATCCAGGGGTGACCTGGGTGACTCCAGCCCTTTCTAGCAGTCTTGCCCCGGAGGAGATGGGGGAGGGTTCCTAAGGCCGGGCACCCTGCTGCCCTGTGTCACATCCTGGAATAAAGTGTGGCTCTGGTGTGGTCCCATCTATGTGTTGAAGGCTGGGGTGAGAGGGGGCTGAGCTGGGAACACCTGCCCTCATTGGCGCAGATGGACGACTCCCTGTAACAGGCCCATGGGTGTCAGCCCGTTTGACCCCAGCCCCCAGGCCAGGTTCAGATGGTCTGAGCTGGCACATCCAGAAAAGGCTGGGCTCACTGAGGCCCAGTCTCTGTGTCTTCCCAGGGGCCCCTTCCTCAACACCTCTGCTCCCACACCTGCCCCAGGCTAGGTCTCGGCCTGCAGCGGAGGCCCCGAGGTGCCCCTTCCCAGAAGGTCCTCCAGGGCCCAGCCCCCCTCCAACTTGTCTGCGGGTACCTCTGGTAAGGTCCATCCTGGCCTGGGACACCCCGCACCCAGCCTGGGCTCCCCCCACCCCCTCCCACTTCTAAATGAGGAAACTGAGGCCTTGGAGAGGCAGGAGCCACTCTGCCTGGAGTCCCCTCCCTCCCTCATCCCACCACAAGAGTCACTGCTCACTGCCCTGCGGAGCTGCAGCTTCGACAGACACCTGGGTTCCCAGAGGTGGAGACTGGACCCTGAGACCACAGCACTGGTCCTGGGTCGCACCACTGTAGGGCCAGCCCTGGCCAGCCCTCCTGGGGGATCTGGACCTTCTTCCACTATGGGCATGTGCACATGCTGCATTTGCCATGTGTCCAGGTTCACCGAGCTCATGAGTGTGCGCCTGTGGGTGTCTGTGCTGTGTGCACGTGTGGCGTGTGTTCTACCAAGAAAACCTGCACGTTTTTATGAGAAATCACAGAACAACTTTACAGTTGGTGAGGAAAGTTTTCCAAACATGGTAGGAAATCTATAGCAATGGAAGGACAGTCACTGGCTCCACAGGCTGTCCCTTGGTGGAGACAGAGCTGCCTGGGCACTGGGTGCCCTGCCCAGCACAGCTAAGTCTAACCAAGGGCTGTAGAAATGGTGCTATATCCCCAGCCAGAGTGTCATGGGCATACAGCAAATGCCACAGTAAGCACAGCACACTACTTTGGTCGGTCCTGAGGTCTGTGTGAAGGAGGCCCACGGGAGGTGGGTGGCATAGCAAAGGTGTGTACAGGTGCACACTTCGGGCATTCTCCGCATTCACCTAAAACAAAATCTAAATTGTGCTCAAACTGTTTCCAAATCGTCAATCACATGCCAATCTTGTGACTTCCTTCCCGACCTCTGGGACTCCCTCAGGATTGCCCCCACTGACAACCCCTGGTGTTTCCCTCCTGGTACCTGTAGCAATGGGCTCCAGTGGAACAGCACAGTCCACTTCCCTGCGACCAAGGGGCCTGCTCACTGAAGCTGTGGGGCCCACACCTGGTGCGCGTGACTTCATAAAACCACACGTTTACAGCTACAGTCGGAGCCTGTGGATTCTGACACTTTCCTGATACTGGCCACTTCTGCACACAGGCCCTGGACTAACCCTGTGTGCATGTGGATGGCACATGCCACCACCCCCCCGGGGGGGCGGGGGGCTCACAGGCCTGGCTCAGACATCAAGAGCCACAAAGGCTCTGGACAACCCAAGGCAGGGGAGGGCCAGGAGCAGCAAAGGGCCACAGTGGACCCACCCCACCCCACCCAAGGCCCTACACCAGCAGGTGGGGGGCTGGACTCCGAGATCCCACAGCAAGCCCCATGACCGCCCCCCAGAGCTCATTCAGAAAGGACCAGCGCTGCAAAGCCCAGTATAAAGGATTTATTTATACTCAACAATTGACAAGCCTTCCTTTAAATTCCATTTTTACAGTAAATAACGTACATCTCCCTTCTTCCCATGCAGGATCACTGTGTATTAATCTACAACTCTTAATCGTGAAAAAATAAAGTGTTTCCCTTTATAATTATACTGGTAACATGTGAAATATTATAAGTGATAAAGGACAGATTTGCTCATTCCTGGACTGCTTATTTGGTTAAAACCTGAAACGTTAGGTCAAAGAAATCCATCACCCAATAAAAATAAATACTGCATCACGAAGGACGTGGAAAGTTCTCAGCGCCCCTCTTTAAAAGGGCGTTTCTGGAGAGGCAGCGCGGTGCCTGCGAAAGCAGCAGGGCTGTGGCTCGGGACTTGCACAGAGGAGCTTTGCTGGCCATGTCAGGGCACCACTGGGGCCACAGCCACAGTCAAGGACCATGCAAGCATCGGTCTGGCCAGCTGCTGCCCAAGCTGCAAGGAGCCCACAGCTCACCCGTCCCATCTGTGAGGGGTAAGTACACCATGATTGCAAAACGACCCCGTGTTCAAAACAATAAAAGATAAACGAGAAACCCGCGCACGTTTACAGGCCCTCAGGAGGCTGGCTCAGTCCCCATCTTGGTGGCCACTGCCTCCTCTGCATGCCACAGGCTGTGCTGGGAGCCTGGAGCGGGGATGCTGGGCGCAATCAGTCTAGTCACTGACGATAGGCTGCCTGTCATCCCGTAGCCCTCCCCAAGGAACCACAGACAAGGATGGCAGAGGGACGCCGCAGCAAGGCCTGCGCTTTATTGTGATTGAGCTGAAGGGACATGGCCGCCCGCAGAAGCCTGGGCCTCAGTCTCAAGTCCTGGCCACGCAGCATCAGGCGGACTGTGCAGCCCTCAGCCACCTTACATAAATAGGGACAGACGCAATACAGGCAGCCCCGCCAACCACAGATCAGGAGCCTGCTGGGTGTGAGGAGCCACGTTCTGGGCCTGGCTCCTGAAACTGTCCGGTGGTGCCGACCATGGGCGTCTCCATGCAGGCCGGCAGCTCAGTCCAGCTCGATGGGGCTGCTGTCATCCTGGCTTTCCTCCCCCTCCTCCTGCTCCGAGGAGCCCATGAGGCTGCTCAGCAAGTTCCCTGGAAGGAGAGACAGTGTGGCAACAGTGGCATGGGTTTACATGGCTGCTGGCCCTGCCCCCAGAAGCCTTTGGCTGTGCCAGGCCTCCAGCATGCCGTGGGGGAAAAGCAGAGGCTGGTGAGCCTGTGTCCAGGAACCCCATGAAGGTTCCCCAAGGATGCAGTGCCGATGTGCAATGACAGTGCTCGGGCCTGCGTGTGAACTGTGATGGGAAACCCGAAGCATCCACCAACAGGGAACAGCAGTCCGCCAGCGATGTCACAGGCAGACTGTTCAGCCAGAAGAAAGCTGCGCAGTGGCCACACACTGCACCCCAGAAACAAAGCAGAGCCTCAAAAGCTACTCTCAGTCACCTGCACATGCCATCACTACCAACAGGTGCCACATCTAACTGCAAACTCAAGTCTGAGAAGTCCCCTCAACCCCATGAGGGGCAAAGTGCAAACCAGAGGTTCCGCAGTCCTCAGTGAACCACAGCCTAAGGCAGGCTCCTCGCACCTCCAGCTCTGCCTCGGCAGGACCACACACTGACTGCGCGGCTGGGGACAGTGTGGAGCCAGGAGGGCAGCAGAAACAGCCTGAGGGACAGGGAACCACACTGTGCTCCCAAGCTGAGACACGTGCATGTGACATGCTACCTCCTGGCCCAGGCCACGATGGGCAACATGGTGCCATGCCACAGGGGCCCAGCATGGACAGCAGGGCTCTGCCTCCCACGTGCCATGGTCAACACACACAGCTGAAGGCCAGAGGGAAAGGCAGAACTCCACTCCAGACAGATGAGAGCCAAGGGGAAGGAGAAAAGTGCGCCCGTCATGGAGGGAGAACGAATGTGAAGCAGCGTCTCCCGAGAAGCCCTGGCCCTGGAGCAGTTAGGCAGTCTCCATCCGAGCCACACGTGTGCTGGCCAGCGCATGTGGCATGACAGTCACACAGACACATAGGAATGCTGCCCGACACAGTTGTGTGCACATGGGGCCTAACCATCATGTGGTGCGTGCTTTGGCAAGTAGAACATGTGAGGTGCGGCCTGCGGCCATCTGCAAGGTGAATGGCAGCAGGTGTGTGTCCCGGCACCTGCACAGCTGCCTCTGCCGGGAGTGAAATGGCTGGGCTGCCTGCCAGCAGGAGACCAGACACGGAGCCGAAGGGATGCAGGCGCTCTGTACTTCTGAACCCTGTGAAATGTTATTCACTCTTCAAGTAAAATTAAAACACTTCAAGTATCAGGATTATAAGCCACGCTGACAGAGCACTGCACGGCCTCGCCCCACAGGCGCACTCACAAGTCCAGCCTGCCTGGGTGCAGACTGCCCGACTTTCAGTGGCAAGTCAGGAGGTGGCCTCCACTGCAGCCCTTGGAGAGGGTGCCCTGCAGATAGCCATTCACAGCTCAATTGTGGAATTATGCCAAGGACTCAGAAGTGGGCCAGCAGGGGGCTGGCGAGGAGCCCACTGCAGGCCGCAGAGCTTACCTAGCAAGCCTCCGTAGGAGGATGTCTGCTTGGGCGGCACGCCAAAGAAGAGTTGGCCTATCCTGTCGAGGTACTGCAAGAGGCAGAGCAGTAGTGGGTCACTGAGCCTGTAGGCCTGGCAGAGCCACCCCAGCCCTCGGGGTCCCCAGGGGCCACCCACGCACTAAGGCTCCCTCCTCTCGGCAGCTGCCTCAAGCCTGACAGTGAAGAGTCCTCACCTCGTTGTACATTGGGTCCCTCCGGAGGGACGGCTGATACTGCTCACACAGCACCGTGAACACGGCCAGCTTGCCGCTACAACGACACCAGACAACCAGATGTGTGTCCCAGTGAGCAGCACGTGCAGCCCTGCCCAGGTCCCACCCGCGCACACGGCAGCCAGACTCACCCTTCCAGGGCCAACAGCAGGAACCAGATGAAATTGAGCAGGGGCTGGACGAATGGTGGCCCATCCTCGATCGACGGGTGCTTCTGCGTGTACGTTGTGAAGACCACCAGTGCACTAGTCTTGTTTTTCAAACAGAGAAACCTGGAAATGAGAACATGCTGGTGGGTGGGAATACTGCAGGAAGACTGGTTTCTATGGATGCTTAGGAGGGCGTGCATCCCCTGCGCTGCTACCTTGGTCCACACCAGCAAGGGTACAGCTTGGCAGGATCTAGAGGGCACCACAGCTGTGGCCAAGGGGTCAGGCAGGACTGCATCCTGGTGCTGTCCCTCAAGTACACCAACGCCATGGGTTTTTACACTTATGCGGGAAGCATATTAAGCCTGGGAAGGAGACTCAGCTGCTGAAGGTCAAAAGGCTAAGAAATGGGGCCAGAACCTGAGCCCACATCTGCTGAACCCAGTGGAGCGTGGCCTCTTTTCACCTGTGCATCAGAGCATGTGCAGGCACCCCGGTCCCAAATGGTCCATAGTCTGATGCTTCGTGGGGTGTCGGACACACCTGGATTCCACTCAAGAAGGACATCCCTCAGGCAGCTCCCGAGAGGTCAGGGAGAAAGAACTCAGAGGCAGTGAACCAGGGTCAAGCCCAGCCCCGAGAGGACACTGCGCCATGCCCGGCCAAGCTGGGTCAGGGAATCTTAGATTCTAAACGACTCATTTTAAAGTCACATATGTCAACAATGACAAGTGCATGGCAGGGCTCTGCGGCTGTGGATGACGTTAAAGCACCTGTGGGCCTCTGAGCCACCTCTGCGGAGATGCAGTTGAATTTGATCACAGGGACAGTCTGGAAGGGACAGTTCCTGGCCGACGTGTCCTGTGTCAGTGAACAGCTGGAAGGCTCTGTCAGCTCTAGTACAAGTTTCAGTACTTTCAAGATCAGCAATGGGACAGGCAGGCCTGGCAGAGCAGATGACAGGCCCTCCTGGCAGAGGAGGGTGCAGCCTGTCCACAAACTAAAGGGATCGAGACTCAAGGAAACAGCCGTGAAGACAGCCCCTGAAAGCGTGCTCCTGCTTCTCCAAGTTTATGACACCTCGACAACTCCTATACACAGTGGTCACAGGTGACAAGTGATCTCAGTGGTCAGCTCCTGCAAACCCTACACTCCCTCTAGGCATGTTACAGTCAGAGCATGTTGTGGCCCACTTGAAGCCACCTCTGGAAGCAGGGTACCGACACCACAAAGCCATACTGAATACCTACTGAAGCACCGCCTGGGCCACGAACATGTCCACCTCACTGCGGAAGCCCCGGGCGGTGGAGTACTCCACTAACATGTTAGCGCAGCCCTCGCCGTCAGTGGAGTGCAGGAAGTGATACCGAGACTCGCAGTAGTTTTGTTCTGCAAAGCAGAAAGAAAAAAAGGGAGACAGACATGTCACAGAGACTGCTAAAGGCTCCACCTTCCCTGCTCCCCAAATGTGCTCCACGTGCACACCCCAACGCGCAGCAACCCAGGTGAACACCAGTGATAAGGCTCATTGGACCACAACAGGGCTACTCACATCAACACCCCAACTTTCTTGTGCTCAAAGAACAAATGCAGAAAGCTGAAGAGCAGAAGGCTGCCCCAGCAAGACCTCATTTCTCCAAGCTGTGTGAAGCTCCTCCCATTAACATAAATGCACATGAGGTGGGACAATAAAAATGACTAATATTTGATCCATCTGACTACTTGAAGGTGCCTGATTGACGGATGCTTCTGGGCAGGCACTGTGAAGATTGCCAACGCACTGCTTTTCTTTTATAAACAAGCACCTTAAGACGGGCGCATTGGTGCACACCTGTAATTCCAGTGACTCAGGAGGCTGAGGCAGGAGGATCCCAAGTTCGAGGCCAGCCTCAGCAACTTAGTGAGACCCTGTCTCAAAATAAATAAAAAGGTCTGGGGATATGGATCAGTGGTTAAGTGCCCCCTGGGTTCAATCCCCAGTACAAAACAAAACCAAACTAGCAACTTAAAAAAACCTGTAAGAACCTTAAAAAACAAACAAACAAACAAACAAACAAACAAAAACCCTAAAACTTGAGCCCTTCCAAAATAGAACATTGAAGCCCTTCTCTCCCATAGATCCCTGATACCACAAAGGACCCTGTGGGTCACCTGATTCTTTTTTTTCTTTTTTCGTACCAGGGATTGAACCCAAGAGTGCCTAACCACTGAGCCACATCCCCAGCCCTTTTTATTTGTTTGAGACAGGATCTCACTAAATTGCTGAGTCTGGCTTTGAATTTGTGATCCTCCTGCTTCAGCCTCCCAAGCTGCTGGGATTACAGGCATGCCCTACCATACCGGTTGGGTTACCCAATTCTAACACCTGCTCACATTCCCTTTAACTCCACTCTGGGCTTACTAACCTCGACTCTTAAGAGCCCCCTTCCCACCTCTGACCTGGTACCATCCTAAGAACCACTCTCTCACCCACCTCAAAGGGACTGACTCTGGATCCCTGTCCCCCCAAGCTGCCTTCATGGCAGTCAGAACTAAGAGGAGTCAGGTTTCCACTGTCTCTTGTTGGACTCCCGAGCAATCTTCCAAGGTGACCTTTTGGATTTGGACATCCACATGAGAAGATTATTGCATACCGAAGCCCAAGCACTGAAGTCAATTCTTGTTAACATAGTGACGCTGCTTACTGTGGGGACAGCAGCCCCACTGAGCTGGTCCTGTTACCAGCAAGTGCTGAGTATACTGCAGAGCCACCATGACCCAGGGACAAGCACCTCACTCCACCACCAGAGGAAGTCACCAACACTGGCTTGTTCTCAGGCGGATCTCTAGACTCTGCTCCCCGCTGCCACACAGGGGACACTGGTGCCTCCTCTAGCCAGGGCTACCAGTGCCTGGCAGGCAGGGGCTGCCAATTCCCTTTGCCAACAGGACCTGGCCCATGGTGAACACTCAGATTTGTCTGCTTGGTAGATGAAAGGGCAGAATGCAGCCCAGGTGGTTGACACCCACCTATCCAATGATTGTGCCACTCACTAGACTGCAGCTGTTCCCAAGAGGCCCTGAATCCCCAGGGCTTCAGAAGAGCTGCTCTGTACCCTATCATCTCCACTGCTGGCCAGTGTAGCCTTCCTATATGTCGACAGTCACAGGCCAAGGCCTAGAGAGCCAAAGCACAAGGGCCCTAGATACCAGTTGTCCCCAGGAACACCACCGAGGAGGAAGCCTGTCATAACCTGGCAAATTTGTCATTCAGATCACAGAAAACCTTTACTGAGGGCTTCTTCCAGTACCTGAGCAGAGACTTGGAGCACAGACACTGACCGCCCAAAAGAAAACACCCAAGATCCCACCCTTCGGGCCAAATAATGCCACAAACACTTCATCAGAAAAAGAACTGTTGAGAAAAGAACCAAAGAACGAGGCCATGGAGGGCTGCTGCAGGAGGAAGAGTGGGAGGGACAGGCGGTCTAAGCAAGGATCTGAGTGTTTGTAGGGGCTGGAGATTAGAGTGTGAAAAGATGGCAGAGCAGGCCTAGTGTCCTGCTGCTGCCCGGAGCAGTGCAGCTCCACTGGGCAGCTCAATACAGGGCAGAAACGACTGGCCTAGCCAGGGGAGGCAAGTGACCAGCCTTGCTGCAGAGCTGCCTACCCCTTGATGGTGGAGGACCCCAGGCCTACCTTTCCACAGCGTGAGGGCCAGCAGCTGGTGGAGCCGGGGATGGCCCAGTTTCCCGGACCCTCCACTGGACCACTTCAGGGCTCTGGACACAAAAGCCACTCGCTCCGGAGAATTTGGATCCATCAGACTAAATACTTTAGCCAGATTTTCTGAAAACAACACAAACAGATCCTCATCCCAAAGAACATGAGGGAACTGGGCAGCAGCCACAACCATAATTCAGTGATATGGGAGGCTGAGGCAAAAGGATTCCAAGCTTGAGGCTAGTATGGGCAATTTAGCCAGACCCTGTCTCAAAATAAAAAATACAAAGGACTGGGAGTATGGCACAGTGGCAGAATGCTCCTTGGTTTAATCCCCAGGACAAAAATAAAACAAAATAAAAAAACCAAAACCCTCAAAAATCAGAGGGAACATAATGCTGTTCTTTGTATTGTGCATCTTGGAAAAACAAATTTAAAAAAACTATATAACTCCAGCTGGATGCAGAGGCTCATGCCTATAATGGCAGCAACTCAAGAGGCTGAGGAAGGAGGATTTCAAGTTTGAGGCCAGCTTTAGCAATTTAGCAAGGCACTAATAAGCAACTTAATGAGACTGTCTTAAGATTAAAAAAAAGGGGGTGGGGTGCTGGGGATGTGGCTCAGTGGTTAATGTCCCTGGATTTAATCCCTGGTACCAAAAAAATAACTTATTTATAATTTCAAAAGAAAGCAAAGAAGGACAGGGGTTGTGGTCAGTGGTAGAGTGCTTGCCTCACATGTGTGAGGCATGGGGTTTGATTCTCAGCACTACAAATGAATAAAAGAAAGGTCCATCAACAACTGAAAAAAACAAAACAAAACAAAAAAAACCTGAAAGAAAGCAAAGAGGCCACTGATGAGTTGATGATGTCCCCCATGTGTGTCCTGTGGGTTCCAGGGCTACCCAGAGCCACTCCACCTGACCCCTGTCTGCTAATGCTGCATGCCCCAGAATGCCACATGCCCCAGAATGCCACAAGGAAGGACAAGTACCTTTCATCTTCGTGACCTACCTGGGTCATGCTAGGAAGGGTGGGCTGCATCTTTGTGATCTACTTGGGTCATGCTAGGAAGGGTGGGCTGTGGTGAAGAGCTAGCCCTGAAACAAGCTAGGGAGGGGCTTTTGCAGCAGACAGGGGTCCAGTGTCCCCTCCTCCTTCCATGTGAGCAGGAGAGGCAGTGGGGTCTCTCTCATCTTCCATCAGGTCCCAGAAGGGCTTTACCAACTGCACGCTCACCCATAGGGCAGACCAACAAGCCTGGTCTCTGGTCACAGGGCACCCACCTCTCTGACTGCCACAGCAGGGTCAGGACCTCATCATGCTCTACACGTCCTGCTATGTGCCCATGCATGTGGAGCAGGCCAGCTGGGTGGGCATGGCCACTGCAACTGGGCAGGAGCTACCTCCACAACAAGATAAGCCCCAGAACACCAGAGACCCACACGTGGGCACTGAAGTGGATGAAGTGCCTAGGGAGGGGCTACATCAGAACAATGGGGCAGCCTGTAAGAGGGGTCCTCACCCAGCAGTTCATCAGCCACTTCCACTTCTGCCTTCTCCAGGGACTCCAAGACTAACATAGATAAGTCTGCAGCACTGTTTTGCTACAAAACAAATGAACAAGACTCACAAAGTTAGAAACAGACCTGAGTCATTCAGAGCAGTACAGACAAGGCTGGTTGGTTGGTGGTGCTCCTCCTACAGACATGAACGCACTACAGTCGTGAACACACCAGCACCAACAGGAACAGACCACTCAGCCATGTAGCCCAGTCATAGAGCTCTCAGCCCAGAAGCACATAAAAAAATGGAGAGAGCTGTTTAGATCAAAATCACATGTGCAGGGCTAGGGTTGTAGCTCAGTGGTAGACTGCTTGCCTAGCACACATGAAAGCACTGGGTTCAATCCTCAGCACCACATAAAGAATAAATACATAAATAAATAAAATAAAGATATTGTGTCCATCTACTACTAATTTTTTTTTTTTAAAAAAATTACATGTACAGCGTAGCACCCCAACACCCACAAATCCAGAGGTTTGCACCCAGCCACGAATGGCCCATAGTAACAGGCCCGAGTGTAAAGCATCTGCATTCAGGGGCAGAGGACCCTCTTCCACTTGCAGCCAGAGCCAAGGATGTCCTAATGCCATCCCGAGGCCTTTTTCTGGCCATTCCCCCCTCAACATTCCCACAAAAAGCAGAGGACATAGGAAGGGGCGAAACCCCTTACCTGGCCGTGACTGAAGAAGAGCAGTGCTCCTGAGTACATGAGCTCTCGGGCCTCTGCGTGTTTGCTCTGGGACATATATCTGCAAAGAGAAGGAAAGCATGAGCAGGGAGCCCAGGATGTGAACCCTACAGATGCGTGCTCACTGGTGGGCTGTGGACGTTCATGCTGAGGTTTGCCCAATCATCCATGGAGAAGGGAAACCAGGCAGGCCCCCCCCAGAGGGAGCTGTGCCCTGGCCCAGCTGGCCCCCTGGCAGGAGGCAAAAAGCAGCCCCTCCTTCAAGCAGCTAGGAGTTTTGGCAGAGGGACCCGGTGAGGGTGGAGGCAGGGCCTGACTCCATCTTCTAGTGCAGGCCTGCCTGTGCAGGGGCTCCACAAAGTAGGGGAGACGGATGCCATTCATCTGAAAGCTGAGGGACAGTGGGGCTCCAGGACAGGGTCCTATCGGGGAAAATAACAACTGTGACTGCACCAACATCTGCCCCCACTCAGATCCAGTCACGGGCCAGTGTCCTTGAAAGCCTGCTTGGTGGCATCCCACCGCCCATGTGTCACATGGTGTGGGTGTCCTCAACCTGCTGTGAGCACATGCCCTCTCACAGTGAAGGAGGTTGGGAAGAGATGGTTTCTTCACTGTACAGGGACAAGGACAGAGTGGCCAGAATGATGCTGTCAACAGAGAGGGTGAAGGGGTCTGTACACTGGATGGTGTGAAGGGACACAGATAGCCTGAGCCCCTGCCACAGGAGAAGTGCACAAGGCTAGAGTCAGCTTCTTGTGGCCACTTGGCCAGGTGATGCTGGGACATCTCACTTCCTTGCCGTCAGTGTCTTATCATCAGTAAACAACAGGACGAGTCAGCACACTGCCTCTCAGCCCAAGCCCCCTGGGATAAAGCTGTGTTCAAAACCAATCCAAATTATACAAGATCCTCAAGCAACAGTGAAGGGCCTCAGACAGGAGAGACGAGCAGTGCTCCTGCCTGGGAGTGTGACTTCACCATGCCCAGTACAGAGGAGTTGGAGTGCACCGTCTGCTATCCATCAGCCACAGGAAAAAAGGCCCATAGCCAAACCCCAGCTAGCACACCACAGTCCTCAGGGGACAGGTCCCAGCAGGAGATCCCACCTTGCTGGGCTGGGGTGGGGCCAGCAGGCAAAGCCTACTCCCCACAAAGAAGCCTTCAGTAAGCCCACCGGCCACACATATCTGTCTTGTCAGTGCTACTCCCAAGTGTGGTCACCCTTCCAGGTGTTCCCTGAGCAGAGAAGCCATGAGCCTTCCAGCACCCAGACCTTCCTTGATTAGGAAAGCTGCAGAGCATTTCAGAAAACATGTTCTGTGGTCAAAATCAGCAGCCTTGCACTGCCATCTGCAGGGACATGAAACCCCATCAACCACATGGCAGACACTGGTCTACAGCCTTCTAGACTCTTCTGAGGCCCAACAAGAGATGATCTCTTGGAAATGCAGATGAAGAGTTCCCTGAGAGGCAAATGAGCCAAGTTCCTGAGATAAGGGAGTCTGTCTGCCTCTCGGGGCTGCTGGTGACCACAGTAGCATTCCTTGGCTGGCCTGGCCTGGCCTGCAGCAGCCTGGGCTCTTGCAGCCACCTGCCTTCCAGGAACTCATGGAGGGCAGAGGTGACCAGGTAACAGGGATCTGTGTGCACAGGATCAGAACCATCCACCATCAACCCCATCCCGCAGAAATCACCTGTTACCACGTCAAGGAAACCTGGTAAAAAAAAAACAAAGTCTCAGTCAACCTTAAGAATGAGGGTCTTGGGCTGGGGTTGTGGCTCAGAGGTAGAGCACTCGCCTACCATGCATGAGGCGCCAGGTTCGATCCTCAGCATCACATAAAAACAAAATAAAATAAAGACATTGTGTCCACCTATAGCTAAAAAAAATATTAAAAAAAAAAAAGAAAGAAAGAAAGAATGAGGGTCTTTCTCCACTGCAGAATGCTGGGAACTGAGAGGGATTTTTGTGTCTGCGTGACTGAGTAGGGTGGGGGCCCCCTAGGCCACAGATTGCTGAGAGCAGCTGGCCTTCCCAGGATGCATGCCACACAGCCCTGCCCTCTGCACGCTGAGCAATGTTGACATCACACAAATGCCAAGAACACCACCCCACGCTAGAGGTGGACTTGGCGTTGTTGGTGAACACTCCAAGCTGGTCCATCTTGGTGTATTCTGTCAGTCAAAAATGATCAGAAGCATCTTACCAAAGACCAATGGAGCTGTGCAAGAACTGTTTCATTTTGCTCTTATTATTTAAAAAAGCAGTACACAGAAATTCAAGCATTAACACTAGGGATAAACACCTGTGGGTATCAGTAAATACTGGTGGAACTCATGGTTTGCCTAGCCCCCAAAATGCTCACTGGAGTGCAAAAGCAAGCACCTCCAGCGCCTGCTGGCAGCCCAGAAGCCCCAAAGCCCAACACCCTAACTGCCAGGGTGCAGCTGCCTCCCGCATGAGGTTGTGTGTGCAGACGTTCACTCTGGATTTCCATTTTCAACATTTATGTGATTTTAAGAGGCAACACAGGAGGGCTACAGGCCACAATTAGCAATCCAAACAACTCTCAGGAAAAATGGCAGAAGGACGGCTCACTTTCCTTGAGGCCAAGGGGAGACGGGAACCACACAGGTGGGATGCAACTGAAGGTCATGGCCTCCAGGTCAGCCTCTCAACCACAACCTGAAAGCAAATCTGCAAGCACTGAGGCCGCAGTGAAGATCCTAGACACAGGAAGGCCGCACTCTGCACTCTGGGAAAGCTGTCCTCAAAGACACAATTTCCTGACTTTGCAGGTGCTAATAATCCAAGAGGCCTGCAAAACTTACTCCCCCTCTCACCAGGCAGAGAGGTCTGAAGAGACACAGGGAGCTGCCCCCAACAGCCCCACATGAAACTGAGTTAGAAAGAAACTGCTTCAAGGCGCCCAGGTGAACCACCCAATATCTGCTGGACAGACACCATCTGCTGGGCTGCCTATTCTTCCAGATCCTCGCACCTGATGTAGGCTCTAACTGAATCAAAACAGTGTGTTGACATCCACAGAGGAATATCATAAAGCAATACCAAAGACCTACAACCCAGGTCAGTCTCAAAGCAATTATGCTGAGTAAATTTAAAAAACTGTGTGCATATATATACAAACACCAGAAAAATAAAAAAAAAAAAAAAAGAAAAAAGAGTGTGTACTATGAATCCACTTCCATAGAATTCAGAAAACGAAATTTCACCTGCAGAGACTAAGTAGAAGGGAGCTGCCCCAGGGGATGGGAGTGGGGGTGGGGAGAAAGGCCTCACAAAGGCAAAGGAGAAACTTCTGACAGCTTGCTTGTGGAAGCATCCTGGGTCGGTTCAAATGTCAAAGTTCATCCAATTGTAATGTAAATTCTTAAATGTAAATATGCAGACATTTACTAGACATTGAAAAACTAGTATAATTTTGTGATTCTTTTTTTTCCAGTTGTAGAGGGACAAGCACTCTACCACTGAGCCACAACTCCAACCCATGATTTGGGGATTCTGACTTCTCCCACAGCCAAATACCCATAGTCTTCCCAGCTTGGGCCTCCTGGGTGGGGTTAATGGAGTGACCCAGGGAGGCCAAGGCTCAGGGAGGCTCTGTAACACTCCCTGGCCCCAGAGGAAGGGTGGCCCTGGGCTTGGCACTCACTCACTGCACTGTCTCACCATTCTTAGCAGGTTGGCCCCAGAAGGAGCAGCTCAGAGGCAGCAAGGTCGCAGAGCTCACCTGTCACCATCTTGTCACCGAGACACACCCTGGACCAAGGGGCTCATCGAATAAATACTAAGTTAAGCAAATCTCTAGTCAAGGCAGGGCTGGTTCAGAACAAAGGAACGCAGTGCCTATTTTTGAGAAGACCCATTTTTATGGGTCTTTTTATTTATTAGTCACTGGGCAAATATTCATAACACAAATTCCCCCAAAAACCAAAGGACAGGGTGAATTCTAAGTGCTATGAGTGTGCACAGATGTGTGGCTGGAACTGACCATCAGGGTAGAAGGCCCCAGTCAATGCTAGCACCTGCTGCTTTTGGCTGATCCTTCAACAGTCAGATTAAAGGGGCTGTGACAACTCAGAGCTTTTGGAAATGCAGTTAGTGACAGCTCAACTTTGTTAAACTTGCCCCTGTGACTACCAAGCGTGCAGGTCTCATTTTGGTAGAATTTACCATGGTAAAACTAAAGGGAAGAACAAGTCTCTTCCTAAAGCAAACAACAGATTTCAAAAAGCAAGGCATTCATAGCACAATTACAAAACTAGATGCAACCTGACTGGTCTGTATTTATAGTGTGTCAGGGTTTAATACCCAGAAAATTCCAGAACAAGACTGTCCTTCAGGCTATTTGAGATCATAGAGGAGAGGCCAATATTTCTCCCTAAGCCTAGAGAAATCAACTAAACTCAAGGCCTCTGATCCTGGCAACACAGGATAGAAAAAAATGAAAAAATCTTTGAAAACAAGGTGCCAGGGCTTCACCCAGACTGCAAGCTGGTGGGCAGACACAGAGGCAGGGCTCTATCCTGGGGCACAGGGCAAGGCCCAGGGCGGAGGACTCCCACACTTGGCCTGGATCTTGTCTTCTCCCACTGTGTCCACCCACTTGCTGGGTGGTTCAAAACTGAGTGCACCCAAATGTAAGAGAAAGGTCCCAGAGAGCCCTTTAATGATCCCAGGACCAAAAGAAGGCACTAGGCTGAGGAACCATTGTCCCAGCACCTTTGTTCAGCCCACAGAACAGGAGGGGTAACTGGAAAACACCCCACTGTGGCAGCTCTGGCCTGAGGGGTGGGCAGTAGAAACCACTTTCTGCTCAATTTTGCTATGAATCTAAAACTGCTCTAAGATGCAAAATCTATTAAAAGAAAATTGCAGGCCTAAGAAGTGTCAAGGCTAGACCCACAGCCTTCACTACTGGACAGGGCAGTCCTGTCCTGAAGTTAGGAATAAAGCCACAGCACATGGCAGGCTCAGGCCAAAGCTATCAACAAACATGCCCAGGCCTAATGACCAGTCCAATCGCAGAGGACTGTACATCTGGGAGTCCCCCAAACAGGAAGTGGTTACTGTCTCAACAGCACTGGCCTAACCACACGTCGGGTCACCAGGGCCTCTGTTCTCTGTGAGGCAATCCTGGCCGTGATTGCCCGCAGAGAAGGCTGCCTGAGAGGCCCGCTCTAGAGAAACAGCTCTAGGACAGAACCTATCTATGAATAGGAACAGGGTGACAAGGGCAGGGTGCAGGGCCAGGCTAGAGGCTGGGGGAAGGGGAGGAGAAAGCTGGGAAGGGAAGGAGACTGGGGAAAATGAGGACGGAAAGGGTATGGGAAGGAGGGAAAAGGAGGCTCTGAAGGGGAGGCCAGGAAAGAGAGGCTGGGCCCAGGAAAGAGAGACCGAGAAAGGGGAAGGGGGAGGTTGGGGAAGAGGGTAGGGAAAGGGAATGAGGAGGCTGGGGAAGAGGAGACCCGAGAAGGAGGCCAGAGAAGGAAAAGAGTAGACCGGGAAGGAGAAAGCCGGGGAAGGCGGAGACCGAAGTGGGTAAACCACACGGGGGAAGCGGACAGGGAAACCCAGGAAGGAAGACGTAGGGCTCTGAAGGGGAAGAAGAGAAGCGAAGGCCAGGGAAGGGAAAAGGAGGCCGCACAGGGCAGGCCGCGCCGCGCAGCCCGGAGCCCGCCGCCCCCTCTCCAGCCGTCGCGACAGGCAGCTGAGTCGGCCAATCGAGGAGCGGGGCGCCGCGGGGCGGCCAATGGGTGGCGGGGGCGGGGCCTCGGCGGCAAGCCGCCGCCCGCGCCCACCTGAAGAAGAGGGTCCGGTACATCTGGTGCGCCTCGTAGTAGTCGCCCTTCTCGACGCTGGCGCGCAGCTTGCCCTCCACGCGCTGGACGCCGCCGCGGTTTCGGGCGCCGTTGCGGGCCCCCTCCTGCTCCGCCATTGCCGCCGCCGCCATGGGCCGGCGTTCCGCGCAGGGCTGACGCTGTCGCAGGCGCGGTCGGCGGCGCCTCTCGGCTTCCGTCCCTGAGCCCGCCCGACGCCCTCTACGGTGGCCGCGAGGAGCCGGCGGGTCGACGGCTGCGGGCGACACGTGACTAAGGAGGGGCCGCGGAGCCTACGGGCGGCCGCGTGAGCAGGGCGGGGCTACGTGTCCTGGGTGGAGCTGTAGGCAACCACGTGATCGTGAGGCGGGGCCTAGGTTCGTGCTATGTGCCCTGGGCGGGGCTGCGGGTGGCCACGTGACCGCTGGCGGTGCTACGCAAGCGGGGTGGGGCCAGAACCTCTGCCACGTGCCCAGGGTGGCCACGTGTCGGGGCGGGGCGCTGCTCACTACACAATGTGCGCTAACCGCGGCATGGTCACTGGCCAGGAGGTGGCCTCTGCAGCGCGATAGGTCCAACTCCAGCTTCCCGTGGTGGAGCCAAGCAGTCGCCCTTCATCGGTCCTGGGCAGGGGGCGTTTCAAACATGTTGACAGTGATTTAAAACCTTTTTGGAATATTCGAGAGGTTGTCTTGGGCTTTCCTGCTAGGAAATCTATTATTCGGGGACCAAGATGAACAGCCTTCACACCTGCTCCAGAGGGGATGCAAGGGTCTGTCTGAGGTGCACTGGCGATTCCTGGTGATACAGCCAGACAGGGTGCCCTGGCCAGGCATTACAGTGGTTGACAGCTGAGACAGGATGGCCTAGCTATGGATTAGAGCAGAGGCAGATGGGATAGGGTGGCTTGGCCATGGGTTAAGCTGTGTGGTGAAGGGTCCAGCGGGACCTTTAGCTGTACATGAGCCTTTTACTGTGGGGCTGGCTCAAGACTTGGGGGGTGCTGGAATGCAGGCAGAACCCTATACAAGAACTGTGCTTTCTTTTGAGCGGGTAGGTGGGTACAGGGGATTGAACTCAGGGGCACTTGACAACTGACCCACATCCCCAAACCCTATTTTGTATTTTCTTTAGAGACAGGGTCTCACTGAGTTGCTTAGTACCTCGCTTTTGCTGAGGCTAGCTTTGAACTCACAATCCTGCAATCAGCCTCCCCAGCCACTGGCATTACAGGCATGTGCCACTGCGCCCAGCACAATAACTGTTTTTACACACAAACACACACACACACACTCTCTCTCTCCTATGGGTGGGGCTATAGCTCAGTGGTAGAGCACTTGCCTCACATGTGTGAGACACTGGGTTCGATCCTCAGCACTACATAAAAAAATAAATACATGAAAATACATTGTGTCCATTTACAACTAATTTTTTTAAAATTACGCACAGTAAAAGATTACTAACAAAACAAAAGAGCTCAATTACAGTAATGCACTGGGAGTTAGGTACATGAATGTGGGCTCACTCTCATGTGTCTACTTGTGCTGTCCTCACCCTTCTTGTGGGGATATGGGATGATGCAGTGCCAGCAAGGTGAAAGCAAGGAGCTGTGATACAGGCTTGTTGTGATGTGGCACCACTACCTAAAGATCACCTGAACACAAGCACTTTGATGTGACAACACTCCTGATAATCACTCCGTAACCAATCAGCCAGAAGCAGTCACAGTGTGGGGAAACGGAACAAGGGACAACTGGGTCTCGATGGGACTAAATGGAATAGGTCCTTACCTCAGGACAGTGTGTACAATGTGAGAACTACTTACTATAGATCCTTAAAAGAACCAGAATTGCTTAACCCCAGTTACTCATTCAATTAGCCATGGGTAATTGGAAGTGAAAAAGCTACTGTATTATTGTTTATAATAGCAAGGAAATGGAAACTGATATCCATAAGTTGAATAGTAGAATCAACACAATATATACAATGAAACCAAAAGGTTTCAAAGAACTTGTTAAAACAAATTCTTCACTAGTACATGATCTCCAAAGTATATTTGATAACTGGAAGAAAGCAAGGTGCAAACAGTGTGGTGAGTATGCTGCCACTTGTGTAAAAGCAAGAGATGAGTCCCCAGGGTCACTTGCAGCATGCACCTTGAGTGGCAGGTCGCTTCTCCGGGAGAGCAAGCCCTCTTTTCCCAATGATCTCACTTGAGTATCTCTTTTTGTGGTGCTAAGTATGGAACCCAGGGTCTCAGACAGCCTAGGCATTTGTGCCACCAGAGCCATACCCCAGTGCCTAAGCACCTTCTTATCTACCCTGTATCTGCTTTCCAGCTGGACTCCCCTAAGCAGGAAGAGGTGCCCTGAGAACCTGTAGACTAAAGGCCTTGAAGGACACAGCCAGTGCTTGCAGCACCCGAGCTCTCACTCTCAGCACTTAGTTGTCCCTTCCCAAACCTCATGGGTAGAGAGAAAGCAAACTGAGAAAGGAAATATACTGTTTATTACTCATTTGAAATATCACATGCACTTTTAAAAATTTAAACTCTTTAAACATCTCAATAGCATCTTATCAATTTGGTGGCAGCAAAAGAAACACTACCAAAGACAAATATTTTGAAAAGCATTTACAAAAATACATTGCACAAAGTCCTATCTTGCATCTTTAAAAATAAATATTCAAAATATCTCCACCCCCAACTTCCAAATTTAGCTTTATATAGGAAATTTGACTTATATATGTACCTATAATATAGGAAACATCTGTACACATTTCACCCAACCTAGCTGCATGGGCATTGGTTCAACTCTCGGAGAAGCACAGATCTATGTGGCTGAAGTACTTGAGGACTGTACAGCCCACACAAAACTCCAGAGACCAGTGAGCACCGCCATGCTTTTTCTGAAAGTACAGCATTTATGGTGTGCCAAGGCTGTCTTGACCAACAAAATGTAAATAATTCTTAAAGTAAAACATCTAACACTTGAAGTGCCTTGTACATATCTCCATTATAAAGTCTGCTCATAAAATAGTCTGTAGTATTAAATATTAATTATAACCAAAAGAAGTCTCACAAGAATCAAGTGAGAATAGCTGACAGTTGGATAAAAGGCAAACCTCACTGAGAGCCAGTAAACAGTGCTGCCATAGGAAAGACTGGACTCTACAGCAATGATGACATGCCCTGGAGGGTCAGGGGCCTTAGTGTTGCCCCTTCAGCAGAACTCAAAACACAGCTCAAGGACAACAGAAGGTGAGATCTTTTAGTTGCTGTCCATGATGTGAATTTCAACTGCAACATCCTCCTGAGCTCTTCCATTTATGATGTTGGTTGGGACCCAAATTTCTCCCACCTGTAGCAGAAAAACACTCTGTCTTGCTCAGCACCAAGGAGGCAAAGGACACGTCTCAGCCCCTACCCAACTGGGGAACCTAAGTGCTGAAACAAGGAACCCACCTGGTGGAAGTTTCAGAATCCAAAAACTAGGAGATGGTTTTCCCTGAAAGAACATGTGTGGGTTTGACAGATGGACTGTGTCTGCACTCCTAAAGGTCCAACAAACCTGTCAACTCCACCTGCTTTGCTCCTGATATCAAGAATTTAAAGGGCTTATATTAAAAAACAAATCCCCCAAATAAAATGAGTGTCTTTGAGAACCATACATTCAAATGAGTTTCCAGAGAACCCACCACGGAGTCTTTGTGGACCACGCACATGGCACGCAGTGCTTTTGAGGACTCACCATGCAGGTCCTTTGCCACTGCATATGCTGATTTTAGGGCTGACATGTTACTGTTCTACGCATGCCCTCACCCCAAGGATCCAGTGTTTCCGGCAGTTCTGGTATATACAAGCATATACAAAACTAGGGAATCCTTTATTTTGCGGGTTCTCCGTGAACTCTGAACCGATACAGGCAGGTATACTCAGGGTGGCCCCAGTTTGAGAGGATGCGGAGTTCCAGTATTTGGAAGGCTTTGTCAGGTCTTTCCTGAAATGGGAAAAAACACATTTACTTCAGATTAAGAGCCCTGACACCATCACTTCTCCTAGTATGCTATCTGACAGGAAACAGCCTTTGGAAATTAGAATTCTCAGTATGAACTTTCTAAATCATAAATTCAGGGAGACTCTCAGAACTAACCAGCCACAGACTGTCTTGCTGTCACCACCAATACCTGCACCTGCACACAGCTCTCTACAGCTGGGAGGTACAGGTTGATTTCCTGCCAAAGCTGATCCTTAGTGCCCCTCAACAAGACTGTTCCCAGTGACAGAGACGGTGAAGGGACACGGCACCAGTCCTTACCGGAGCATGGAACATCTGCAGTGACTCCCCTTCTTGGTCATATGTGAACTGTCCCAAAGGCTGCCCTTCTTCTTGATACTCATTTTCTAAACCCTGAAAACAAGACCAGGTAGTCATCAGCCAATGGAAACAGCAGTCATCAACAGAAGTGACTGTGTCACTTCACCTCCATAAGCAGTACTGAAGCCCTATCTAGAAGCTTTTGTCATGGGCTTTCAACCAGAGCCACCCTCCGAGCCAGGTGTGACTGCTCCCATAATACAGATGGGGAAGATTGAGGCCAGCAGGAGGCGTGTGCAGGTAGCAGAGATGTGACTGTCCAATGGCACAAACAACACTCACAGCTGCCCTCACCAGTGGGAATTCTAGGCTCCCATGAGCCCAAGAAGACACCAATTTAAGGATAAGTTTGTATACATTCTATCACAATAAAAAATAAAAAAATATAAATGACTATTTGATGTCTGTTTCATAATGAGGAAGGATTTTGTAGGTATAAAAAATGCCATGAAAGAATTACAGGCCATGAG